TTACAGGAAGGCTGGTGGTGGACACAGCGTGGTTGGCCATCCATCACCTTGCATGTGGTTCCTTTGGCACATTGGATATCACTACAAGAAGGAGGTCTGGAGGACACCTTGATTTGGAGACACCGTGGCCAACCATCAACCATGTGGCACGTGGTTCCCTTCTGGCACTGGATGTCCTGGCAGGAGGGCAGGGTGTGGACACAGTGTGGTTGACCATCCAACATCTTGCACGTGGTTCCTTTGGGACAGTGGACATCAAGGCAGGACGGTTGCCTGAGGGACATCTTGGTCTGGATGCACCGTGGCCAACCATCAACAACCTGGCACGTGGTCCCCTTGTGGCACTGGATGTCCTGGCAAGATGGTTGGTTGTGCACACAGCGTGGTTGACCATCCATCATCTTGCACATGGTCCCTTTGGCACACTGGACATCACTGCAAGAAGGAGGTCTTCTGAATGTCTTGGTTGGAACACACTGTGGCCAACCATCAACCATGTGGCACGTGGTTCCCTTCTGGCACTGGATGTCATTACAGGAAGGCTGGTGGTGGACACAGCGTGGTTGACCATCCAACATCTTGCACATGGTTCCTTTGGGACAGTGGATGTCACTACAAGAAGGAGGTCCTGAAGACATCTTGGTCTGGACACACCGTGGCCAACCATCAACCACCTGGCACGTGGTTCCCTTCTGGCACTGCATGTCATTACAGGAAGGCTGGTGGTGGACACAGCGTGGTCGGCCATCCATCACCTTGCATGTGGTTCCTTTGGCACATTGGATGTCACTACAAGAAGGAGGTCTGGAGGACACCTTGATTTGGAGACACCGTGGCCAACCATCAACCATGTGGCACATAGTTCCCTTCTGGCACTGGATGTCCTGGCAGGATGGCTGTTGGTAGACACAGCGTGGTTGACCGTCCACCATCTTACATGTGCTCCCTTTTGGACACTGAACATCACTGCAAGAAGGAGGTCTTGAAGACACCTTGGTCTGGACACACCGTGGCCAACCGTCAACCATCTGACATGTGTTTCCCTTCTGGCACTGGATGTCGCTGCAGGAGGGTTGGTGGTGGACACACTGTGGTTGACCATCCATCATCTTGCACGTGGTCCCCTTGGGACATTGGATGTCCGTGCAAGAAGGTCTCCTGATGGAGATCTTGGTTTGGAGGCACCGTGGCCAACCATCGACCATCTGGCACGTGGTTCCCTTCTGGCAGTGGACATCATGGCAGGAAGGCTGGTGGTGGACACAGCGTGGTTGGCCATGTGGTCTCTTTGGCACATTGGATGTCTGTGCAAGAAGGCCTTCTGATGGAGGTCTTGGTTTGGACGCACAGCGGCCAACCATCAATGACATGGCACGTGGTTCCCTTCTGGCAGTGGACATCATGGCAGGAGGGTTGGACATGTAGACACTGCGGCCACCCATCGGTCATCTTGCATTTGGTCTCCTTGGGACATTGGATGTCCTCACAAGAAGGTCTCCTGATGGAGGTCTTGGTTTGGAGGCACTGTGGCCAACCATCGATGACATGGCACGTGGTTCCCTTCTGGCAGTGGACATCATGGCAGGAGGGTTGGACATGTAGACACTGCGGCCACCCATCGGTCATCTTGCATTTGGTCTCCTTGGGACATTGGATGTCCTCACAAGAAGGTCTCCTGATGGAGGTCTTGGCTTGGATGCACTGTGGCCAACCATCGATGACATGGCACGTGGTTCCCTTCTGGCAGTGGACATCATGGCAGGAGGGTTGGACATGTAGACACTGCGGCCACCCATCGGTCATCTTGCATTTGGTCTCCTTGGGACATTGGATGTCCTCACAAGAAGGTCTCCTGATGGAGGTCTTGGTTTGGAGACACCGTGGCCAACTATCGACCATCTGGCACGTGGTTCCCTTCTGGCACTGGATGTTCTGGCAGGAGGGTTGGAGGTGGACACATTGCGGCCACCCATTGGTCATCTTGCACGTGGTGCCTTGAGGACAGTGGACATCGCTGCAGGAGGGTTGGATGTGGACACAGTGCGGCCACTCCTGTAGCATCTTGCACGTGGTCCCCTTGGGACACTGGACATTGTTGCAAGAAGGTTTTCTGATGGAGGTCCTGGTTTGGAGGCACCGTGGCCAACCATCAACCATCTGGCACGTGGTTCCCTTCTGGCACTGGATGTCCTGGCAGGACGTCTGGTGGTGGACACAGCGTGGTTGGCCATCCAGCATCTTGCACGTGACTCCTTTGTCACACTGGACATCACTGCAAGAAGGTCTTCTGAACACCTTGGTCTGGACACACCGTGGCCAACC